CCCCCCTGCTTCTTTGTCTTTTTCTTTGGGTTTTTTTTTGGGGGGTGGGGGATGGGGGATGGGTACATATTAAATATTTCACAATAAACATGATCCTCAGCCAAGGAAAATCCACCAGCCAGTTCCAGGTCCATTGAAACGATCATTCAGTCCAGTTAACATTCAGTTGTTGTTGCCAAAATTTTCAAGAGATGTGCAATGCTCATTATTAAACAGCCCAGAATGGTTTTGGAGCTGCTACCACATTTGAGCTGCTTTTCAAAGGTCTGTCAATTGCTTCATCAGTGTCATCGTCGTCATCATCATCCCCATATTCCATTAGCTGGACTAAAGTATCTGAGATGTACAAATTGAATCAAATCATTAAATAATCAGCAAGGGGTAAGGGGCAGGGCAGTGTGAGAGGGTGAGGATAGTAGTCGAGGGTGGAGCGTGGGGTGGAGAAAATCAGCGTGAAATGCCTACTTTATGAAACTTGTTTTCCCTACTCCCACCAGGGAAAGTGACTTCCCTGATTTTTTTCTAGAGAATGTTTTCTTTCATACCAACCAGACATGGAAAAATCGGAAAACATTCGTTTTCCTTCATACCACATCCTTAGTAACAAGAAATGCAAGAAAAGGAAGGGGGTGATGAAGGTCTGTAGGTCTCACTAGTATACAAGCCAAGCAAGAGTTTATTTAAATCTTGAGACCAAAAGGCTAGAGTACTAGCAAATACCTGGAACAATTTTACATGGTGTTTTGTGAGCTACATTGTTGGCATGCACTTTCTCTGTTGATGAATGAAACTTTGGTGGTGGTGGTGGTGGAGGAGGCATCATCCTAGGAGGTAGCGGTGGCATCGGACTGGATAATGGCTGAACCAACTTTTTCGAAGTCGCTCCAATGTTGTATCTATCACCTGCGTCTGACATTCGATCCTGAGGCGTTGGGAGCTCTGAACCCTGCAATGAATTCTGACAACCAAAGGGGGAGATGGAGTCCACCCATAAAACTTATCAATTCCAGGAAAGAAGGGAGGTAAAAGTTTTGAGTTTTCAAAAAACATACTTGAACATTCTTTTACTTGTATAGTAGCAAGCAAGCGAAGTTTAAAATAAATATATGATCCTAAGAATTATTGATTTCCACTTGAATAACTTGCAAATGTTGGATATGCAACTTAACTTTTCTTCTGTCACTTGCTACAAGGAGCTTAGATCATTAAAGGGCAGCCCAGTGCACTAAGCTCCCGCTATGTGCGGGGTCCGGGGAAGGGCCGGACCACAAGGATCTATTGTACGCAGCCTTACCCTGCATCTGTTTCCACGGCTTGAACCCGTGACCTCCTGGTCACATGGCAGCAACTTTATCAGTTACGCCAAGGCTCCCATTCAAGGAGCTTAGATCATTATGTTTGGAAAATGAAAATATTGCAGATGCCCAAAACAAAAACATTTTCTGTTCAGAGTGAAGAAGAAATTGTTTGAAAGCCTCACATGCAGAATGTAATGTGATCTCAGTCTTATCACCCTTTGAATAGTTGAGGCAAAGTTGGTTATTGGTTAAGAATGTGCATTTCAAATTAGTTTATAAACAATTTACAGAATGCCAAAACCAAAAGGGGCATGGTCTTTATGCATCGGCACCATAAAAAAGAACCGAAATAGCACGCAGCAACCCATGCCTCCTCCATGTCCCAGAATCCTGTGAAACATACAAAGGTCCAACAGAGTTCCACTATCAGCCTGTTAGCTTCATACAAGGTCAGAGAAATTACCTGGAATATCAAGTACAAAAGGTTAGACCAGAAATAAATATATGCATTTTATCTGAAAATGTTAAGGAATTTCAAATGCTCAATTTGGAACAGCAATGTGATACAAATTTATAGTGAGAACCAAGGAGAAGTACCGTTCTTTTTAATTCCCCCCCCCCCCCCCCAACCCAACAAAAAAAAAACCTTAACAGGAAAATGTTATAAAACAGCCAAAGCAATTAAGGGAAAGAATCAAACTAATAAATTCCTAATTCTTGTAAATGTAAGGGGATATAAAGCTCTTTTAATTAACTAGCACATTGGAATTTTAGATCCAGATCAGTATGTAGCCCATGGATTGCTAGTTGCCACATGTGAGGGCTGAATAGAAACTAAGATGTTGGGTGAAGGCAAACTAAGTTTAAAAGAGACCCAAAATAGGAGAATCTGATAAATCCAGATTTTGCTAATCATCATGCTACACAAGCTGCACTTCATCCTTCATTAATACCATTTATATAGTGAAGGCGAAGTAAGAACCTAATCACATAAACAGGATACTCCTGCGCACAAGACCACTCAAGCTGTAAGAAATAATTAAGGACATAACTTATGATATAATGAGGCAGATATAAAGGCTATTGCTACGATGCCACAGTTTGTGAAAGGTTAGTTTCAGCATAACTTTGGAGAAACCACAGGAGTTCCGAAAGTAGGTGAAGAGGCCCTCAAAATGAGGAATAGGAATCAATACAACTCCAGTGACCTCTCAGCCATAACCACTAAAGGAAACTTCCTTTTTTTTTTAGCCTATCGGAAGCAGCCTCTCTACCTTCAAGGTGGGGTAAGGTCTGTGTACACACTACCCTTTCAGACTCCACTTGTGGGATTACACTGGGTTTATAGTTGTTGTTTATATATATATATATATATATATATATATAACTATTGTATGAAAGTTGAACAATATTGTTTAAAAATTATATTTAAGTTGTATGATATTGTAGTTGTATATAACTGAGTAGAAATAATGTATGATAAGTTGTAGATAAGTTGTATAATATATAATTAGTTGTATGAATTTTGTTTTTGCTGTGTATATATCATATACAAAATATATAAAAGTCATATTGCATAAAAATTGTATTTACGTAGTATGATATCGTAGTTGTATATAACTGGGTAGAAATAATGTATGAAAGTTGTAGATAAGTTGTATAATATATAATTAATGTATGAATTGTTTTTTTACTATGTATAAATCATTTGTAAACAACTTGTAAAGATCGTTTGATTTTTATTTTTCGATTTCTTACGTGTAAAATGACAAATCCCTTCTTACTTTTAACATACTAAAGAAAACTTGTACCCTATCTATTATAAGTAGCACATGCAAGTAATGACTCTACCCTTTTCCTGTATTGGAGTTTGAAGTTATAACCGAACAGTTGAAATCATTTGTTTAGAAATGAATTAGCCAGTATTAACTTTATTATGCCTCTGCACGTGCAAAGCTTTGAAGTTGGCAAACAAAGAATTATAAGAAATAAGAACAATGTAAGAAATATTGTGGCAAATAGTGTCAACTTAAGGTAATAATATACCTTCTCAGCCACACAATGACATGACTGGAGTGTTATTTAATTTGGCTAATTTTCAGCGTCGGTATAAACATTACTGTACTTCGTTAATTCTTTTTGTTGTGTACATCTGCAAGTACTTTTGTGAAGATTCAACATCTTTTGTAATGAAGTTAGTAGATTTACATCTGTTTTGTTTCAGAAACAGAGTTTTTTTTTAGACAAAAAGAAATATGAATTGGTGTAAATGTACTGTAACGACCCGGCTGGTCGTTTCATGCGTTACCGCTCCGTTTTTCCCATTCCTGCTTCTTATTGTCTTGTTTAGCCGTATTATGTGCTATCGGGTTGGTTGGCTCGGGTTTGGAGAGGTGTTGGTAAGGTTTGAGACACTTAGTCTCTTTTGAGTAAGCTTAAGTTGAAAAAGTCAACTGGATGTTTACTTAAGTGAAAAAGGGCTCGGATGTGAATTCCGAGCATTCAGATAGCTTCAGGAGGTGATTTGGGACTTAGGAGTGTGATCGGAATGTGTTTTGGAGGTCCGAAGTAGCTTTAGGCTTGAATTGGCGAAGATAGATTTTTGGCGTTTTCTGGTTGTTAGGTGAGATTTTGTTATAGGGGTCGAAATGGAATTCCGGGAGTTGCAATAGCCGTTGTGTCATTTGGGATGTGTGTGCAAAATTTCAGGTCATTCGGACGTGGTTTGATAGATTTTTTAATCAAAAGCGTAATTCGGAAGATTTTTGGAACCTTAGGCTTGAATCCGATGTGATTTGGTGGATTTGATGTTGTTTGAGTTGTTTTGAAGATTGGTATAAGTTTTGATAGTGGTATGTGACTTGTTCGTGCTCTTGGTTGAGGACCGGGGGCCTCGGAGTGATTTCGGATGGTTGACGGAAAGTTAGGAATTGAGAGTTTGCAACTGAAGTTTTATGGCTGCTGTCATAACCGCATATGCGGTTGGGAGGCCGCAGGTGCGACTCCCGCAGAAGCGGACATCTGGACGTATCTGCGATGGAACAGGTACGAGAGAGTTACCGCAGGTGCGGTCCCAGACCTTTAAGTGAAAACCGCAGGTGCGGTGGGCTAGACCGCAGAAGCGGTAAAAGGACCACCGGTGTGGTATCCCTGGGTCAGAGAGTATATATTTCTCCTTCGCGATTTTCAGACTTTCTTCACATTTTGAAACGGTTTTTGGAGCTTTTTGGGGGATTTTGAAGAGGGAATCAGAGAGAACTTCATTGAGGTAAGATTTTTGAGCATAAAACTCGTTCCTATGGTGTTATTTCATTGATTAGGCTTGAAATTTATGAAAAATTGTAGGTAAATATTGAAGAAACTAGGGCTTGAAATTGGAGACCTAGAATTTGGGATTTGAGGGGTCATTTGTGGTTGGATTTTGGTAAATTTGATATGCATGAACTCATGGGAAGATAAGGATTCCATTGATGTTAATTTTGTCGGATTCCAAGATGTGGGACCGGGGGTCGGGTTTGGTTAATTTCGGGATTCGTGTCGTAATTTGATTATTTTCGCATGGGCTTCGTTCCCTTAGCATATTTTGACGTCACGATTCTGATTTTGGTTAGATTCGACGCGTTGAGGCCGAGACGAGAGGTAAAGGCATCGCGGGCTAGAGTTTGGACCGGATAGAGGTAAGTAATGATTGTAAATTTTGTCCTGAGGGTATGAAACCCCAGATTTCACATCGTTGTGCTATTTTGAGGTGACGCACACGCTTGATGACGAGCGTGGGGTCGTGCACCGTTGGGGATTATGACTTAGTCTGTCCCGTATGACTGTTTAACTGCGTATCTGATTGAAAATTGTTTGCTATCTTCATGTTTTGGGCTGAATGCCATATTTGGGCCTCGTGCTAACTGTTTTGACCCTTAGGGGATTTTACTACTATTCCTCATTGTTTTGACTTAGTATTTGTTTTCGGTCAGGCTACATTCTACTATTTTCACAACTCAGCCATCTTTACTCATTTTTGATTTTTTAAATGATATTTTGGGCTGAGCATTCATGTTTTACTATTGCCCGTGTGGCTTGTGAGATTCTGAATAAGTAAGGCCGAGGGCCTGTGTTGTGAGGATACTATGGGATCGGGCTGCGCGCCGCAGCATGTGGTACTGACTTGTGATATATGAGAGGCCGAGGGCCAGATTTATTATGCCACGAGGTGGCTTGTGATTGATATGAGGCCGAGAGCATGTTGATTATGCCACAAGATGGCTTGTTTTTGCGCTTGGGCCGTAAGGGGCCCCTCCAAGAGTCTGTACACCCCCAGTGAGCGCGGGTACCCAGTTTGTGATGTGATATAGCCTGAGGGGCCGATGTTATTCCGTGTTATTGCCCGAGGGGCTGATACGAGTGGTTGTGAGATAGCCCGAGGGGCTAGTTTCTGTTGGTATTTTGCCCGAGGGGCTGATTTGTGTTTCTATCTTTTATCCCTGTTTTCATTCATTCATTTGAATTACTAAAATATGTTTTAAAGAGGTTTTACTGAACTAAGAAGATTTTACGAGCTTTTACTGATTTATGATATTGTTCTGGTTTTACACTGCCTCGTTGTAGCATTTTGCTGTGTATTTACGTGTTTTCTTATCGCTCAGCTGCCTTTACTTTTATTACTTACTGAGTTGGCGTGCTCACATTACTCCCTACACCCTGTGTGCAGATTCAGGAGTCTCGGGTCACGCTAGCGAGGGCTGATTGCTTTCCAGCAGGCAGTACAGAGTGGACTAGGTAGATGCTCGGTGTTCGCAGCCTAGTGCTTCTCCTTCCTATCTTTATTTCGCTTGTTCTAGCTTTGTATTAGACTATGTTGTCTTTTCATACTCTTAGACGGATCTTAGATGCTCATGACTGGTGACACCCCGATGTGGGGCTGTGTTTGTTTCCGCATTTGTTCTATCTCACTCTATTTTGGGATTTATCACTTATTAATGACTTGATTATGAATTATTA